GGGGGGGGGGGGGGGAGGTGTCAACTCATCCCCACGGAAACTCACTTTTGGCCGAGATACACCTCTCCTGCCTTAACATCAAACAGCTTCGCAACGAGCACGGTCACATGAAGGCAGGCCTGGTTCACAGCCCTGGACCCAAGGAAGGCACCTGACCCTGTATTTGTTACACCCCTGGCTATTCTGCTTGGGTTGCTCACACTTTGTTTTTTTCCACAAAAGCTTGGGGGAAGGGAAGGGGGAAATCTGCTTTATTCCAGCAAGGGGTGGAAACATTTTCAGCACTCTCATAGTTCTGTGGGACAGGGAGAGTCTGCCCTGGTCTAACAGCGACAGGCAGCACGCTGCTATACACAGGATGCCAGGATTTTAACTTTTCCCTCCTGAAGGCCTAATACAAATAATATACCCAGTAAACAATTCAGCCAGACTACTGCTGATCCTGTGGCTAGTTGAATGCACATATACACCTGTAGTGGTGAATCAAAGTAATCTCTTGGAACCTCACAGCATTCTTCACTGCCTGCTCCGATACACACAGACTCTCCCCCCCACCCCTCCCCTGTCCCCCCCTCCAATTCCTATAACTGGGTAATGAATGTATCTTTTAAAAGAAATCGGGAAAAAAGGAATAGAGGTACCATGAAAGAGGCAAGGTGTTTGTTTTTACTGATTACAAAGACATCTATATATGCTTAATTGCATACACTAAATCACACACAAGTCTTTGCAGAACTGGGTGTTACTTGAAGACGTTACAAAGAGGATAATGACTGACTGGTAACAGTTCAAGAGTAGAAATAGTAATGGAGACTAAAAAAAAGTATCTACAGTCAAAAGTACACATAGACACAACAAATGCTAGACAGAGGGCCCCCCCTTAAAAAAAAAAAAAAAAGGAGGGAAAAGTTTCTGGCATTTTTCTAAATTACTTAGATACAACAGTCATTGGAAACACTCTTTAAACTATTATTCTTTGAAGCACTGCATTTGAGAGAGCAAAAAATAACAGTACATTAGCTCACTCTGTTCAAGGCTATGCTTCACATCCAACCCTACAAGATTGTCCTCACAGGTGACCTGTTGAACTCTAGAACTTGGTCACGGAGCTCCTGTTGAGCTCAGAGGTACATCTATGAAGAGCTGCTTGCAGGAGATGGTCTGTAACTAATTTGGTAACTACTGTTTGCAAGTCTTGCATAGCAACAAACTTTTGAGAGCAAGTGGCATATTTGTGAAGTCACAAAACTTGGCAGAGACATTAGCAGTACATCTCTTGATCATTACTTTAAGCTAGATTAACTTCAGGAGGCCCTTTTCAGCCAAGAATTATGAAGGAGAGAATTTAAGACTTGCAGAATGCTGACTATTTTACGATAAAAAAAGAAACCTTACACACAGAGAAAATTCCATGGGAGACCAATATACAAATCACATTCCCTCTCACCTCCCAACGAGGTGAATGGGAGGGAAAGAGGAAAAGAGTTTTGAGGGAGGAAAAAAAATTACTGCTCCTTTCAGCTGGAACAAACCCAGCAACTTTTTCATTACTGTTTATTTTTTTCCCCTTTCATGAGATCAGCAGGGATATTATTGGAAGCAGTAATTCTATAAACGAACACAGCCAGCCTGTGCATTAAAATTCTGACTATTTCCAAAGAGACACCCAGGCAGTTTTCAAAGGCAGCTATCACCAGAATCCTGCTTAGTTCTGCCATGGGACAGAACTAAAGCTGCAAGATGGGGTTTGTGTGAGGGGAAGCAAGAACCATATAAGAATTTGTAGTCCAAGCTGAGTTTACAGTTTATGGACAGAGTAAACAGTACTACAAGAAAAAGTCTACTTCTGTAGCCAAGACAACATCTATGCAGCAATTTGGTAAGGAAGAACTATATATCTGTGCTCATATCAAGTAGTTTTACAACTAATGAATTGTGTAGGCACATGTGTTCCAATGAGCTCACACATACTTGTAGCCTTCGGTACAGTTATGTTAAAGGTAGGTAAAAAACATACACTGAAGTGTCTCATACACCCCCATAAGTATAGTCCCACATAATTCTTCCTTGCTTTTTATTCAAGTAGCATATGAATTGGAGTAATCCTGCAAACTACTTCTCTACAGGCCTAATGTTATATTCTGTACCCTGGTTCTCACAGCAGCCCTGTTATATCTATGAAGGTGCTAGTTGATACTCCTACCTTGAAACAGATTAAGTAACTACACAGTGATTTATTATTCCCATCCATTTATGAAAGAATAAAATACACTTAAGCCAAATGTATGTAGAGTATCAATTCATCAAGAAATTCATCAGCATACACTTTGCTAAATACTTAACAACACCTAACAAAAATAAGTTCCTTAATTTTGGAATTACACACATTTCAGTAGTGACATGAATGCTGTCTCCAGCTAATTATTTTAATCAATGCAGTAGTTCTTTTTCATCGAAAGCTTTTAGACAAGAATAAGAGCTTACCTTATAGGTTCACCATTGATGTCACTATAGTTTGGCAACTGAACAAGTAGATGAAAGAATAATCCACAAAAGGAATTACAAGACAAATTTTTCCATTACTACTTCATAAGCATCACAGTTCAAAAGTAAACAGCACCGCCCTACTATTGTAGGAGTTAGGCCCTTAAGAAACACATTTATAGCTCATCCCAGCTAGTACAACCACAAATTCAGCTGCTTAGATAGCAAGCCTATCTTGACAACTCAGTAGAAGCTGAACCCAAATAAACACGCAAAGAAAAAGAATACTACCTACTATAAAGCACCAAGCTGTCACGACAAGCACTGCTGTACTAAGCGCACAAACTTAGAAGACTTTGATTACTGCTACCACTTCGCACGAAGACCCTTGAGCAAAGAAACCTCAGTGAAGTTCCCCGAAGCCAACTGAACGCGCTTTCAACCCTCATGAGGGAAAACCTCGAGAAGTGAAAGCTGCGAGGAAGCCAGCTGCCCCCTGCCCTGCCCGGGGATTACCTGCGGCCTGCCGCTCCCGCCCGGGG